CATGAATGCTCACACTCTCCAATTCATGAACCAAAAAAGACTCATTTTCAAATAATCTGTCAAAATTCATTTCAAAAACACTAAGAAATTACAGTTGGTCATTTCAAAACACTGCTATCGCACTGAACATTGCCATGAATCCAGACATATACTCGACATTAATTCTGGGATGAGCGTGATAGACTAAACCAGATCCACTTCTATGACGTTCTCTTTTTTGGTGTAAGAATATAATTTCCTTATTTAACCACACCTCTCGACTGTATTTCTCACTTAAACACTTTCACAAATCATCTGAACGCCACAATGCTAATTTAATCGGATTATGAAAATCAAATGATTAACGATCAGTTCATACGTTCACTGTGGCACAAACAACATCGTGTTCTCTTTCTCACCGCTAAAGCTGAGAGTAAAATGATTGGGCGATAAGAAATAAAAATTATTCTTCCGATGGCATTGAGCTTCAAAGTATTGAGGTAGTGTTTGTGAAGAGAAAAAACTCATTCTCTTCACAAACACTCTTCACAATAAAAAAATCATAAGTGGAACGCACCGAATCAGAAGACGGTTCCATTGATGCACGCACTGATATGACCAACTCCCTCGGGTCACCTGGTTTTGGTTGTGTCAAACGTAATATATAATCACCAACCTGAACAATAATTGGTAAATGCCAACATGAAATAAACCACATTTACAGTGGTGAACTGACCACTCAAAATGCCCATTTCATGCCTTATCTCCACTTTGGTATTTCAAAACCACCAAGATTCAAAAGTTCCGATTGTTTGCAATGCTTCTTCAACGTCATTTAGACCGAAAATCATCAGAGGAGATTCAGGTATGAGAACTACAGCAAATGCTCAACGAAGTGTACAGATGTGTGAGAAAATTCGAGAAATGAGTTGTTTGGACTGCGAAATAATCGAGTTTCGAAATGGGATCGAAAAATCAACATTTTGATGACGTACAAAAATCGAAACTGGACGGAACAAGGATTATGAATACGAATTCGATCAAACTCACTCGTTTGAGAATAGCTGAAATGTCTTCACGAGGCAAAAATCCGTGATAAAATTCTTCGGCTTCCACATCTTTTAGTACACTAGCATTTAATGCCATCAATTATCAACTCGAAATTGAATCTCTCTGAATGTAATTCTGCAAATTGCACGAATGCTCTTCTGATCCTTTCTCACTTTGATCTCATTTTCACTCCACCTGGGGCACTAATACTTCAGCTATTTTCAACTTGATACCTTCGCATTGACTACAAATTCGCATTAGCCCACTTCAACTGCTAATCAGGTAATCAAACTACACGCAAAAATGTTCACCCGTCAAAATTTTTATCTTCAGAACGAATCGAAAACCAAACGGATTAAATTCGTCAAATGGGTTGCGGCTTGGTTACTGCCCATGTGAACAATGATGCCATATCAATGAGCCTAATGCTACATCATTAAATCCTTCTCATTTTCGTCTCACCCGAAGCATTAACGCTTCAGCTATTTTTAACTCAATACCTTCGCATTTTCGATCACATTCACTAAAAATCCAACATCACACAAAAATGTTCACTCAAAAAATTCTTATCTTTGAAGCGAATCGAAGACCAAACGGATTAAACTCTATAAGGTTATTGTTGATATAAGCAATGATAATCTCTCAGCTAACTTAATGCCACTTCATTCAATCAGAAAAATCATCTCTCTCCTCCTGTGTGAATAATGCGATTAAAACTT